GCTAAGAAAAACGTGTTAATAAAAATAACACTTAGTACGATGTAAAAATTAGACATGATGCGAAATGTTGCAAATATCCTTATCATAGTTATAAGCTCAAAAAATATTCGATGCATCAAATCTTCATCACAATTCCCACGGGTCTATAATGGAGTGAGCAGAACAAAGCAATAACGAATAATGAATTTTATTTGCCATGCAGTGGTACTTTCCCATCAGAATTTAATCCTAAGACCCAAGTTGCAGCACCTCGCAAAAAGAAACAAGGTCTCATGGAACAGACTGGGACTCGCCCTCTCTTGACCCATCCGCGCTACTGACGCGTGTCTCCAGACAACATAGAGCGCTGAGTCATGAGAGCGAAATTTGTTCATCTTGTTTTAGTATACAGGAACAAAAATAAGAACTGAAATATGCAAAAGTTTTCAATACAGGAGCTCGTAGTATTACGCAAGCCATGCAATAACAAATACGTGCGTTGAAGTGGATAGATTCTTGGTGCGCAAATTTGAAATAAATAGAATCTCTTTCAAATTAATGAAACCGAAGTAATCAAGAGTAATATACAAAGAAAATTTTCGAGCGTCATAATGCAAGGAGGGCAGCACGCGGCTTTATCGTTAAGCCGCCAAAGCCGAGGAACAAACAACAGTGCCACAACAAATGAAGACTGTCATCGCATTTCTATGAAATGAGAGAGTGAGAGCGATGAATAAGATCTGAAAGATTTTAGGACTTCGTAAGCCGACCGTCCTTTATTCGGTTGAACTTTCATTGATCACTGCAATTCCGTTTGTTGTGCAGAAGATAAATCAACGAAAACAATTGTATATGAATTCACACTAGTATTTCTTTTATATTCTTTTAGAATTATTGAGAAAAAGTAGTTATAAATTTGCGTGAGCGTGAATTCCCCAAAAAAATAATCTAGATGGATGTGGTAAAACGCTTGCTCGCCATTTGCCTCGTGTCATATGAGTCGTCACTGACGACTCATCAGAGCATATATCCCGAGAATAAATGTTTCCGCGATCATGGCCTATCTCTTGTCACGATCATGGCTTCTACCTTACACAAGGAACTTCTTTCGTAACAATTCGTGAGTGCAAGGCAGTTTCCAATCATAGGAATGACGCGCTTTTGATGTTTCATTAATGTAATAAGGCTTCAAATTGCAAGGACCATTTTCAAGATTTAGGCGTCGATTCAAAGCTCGAGGGCCGACCAGAAATCGCTATATTGGTTAGAACTTTCACGCTCTGCATGGGAATGAGTGCAGCTGGGCTATTTGCTCAAGGTTCCTGCTCTACTCGCTGCGGATTGGCGGAGCTTCAAATGAATTTCATGGAAGTAAAGCGTGTTTAAAATTTCAATGGTCGCAATGCATCCAATTATAATGTCAATCGTACATTGTAATAGTAGCAGTGAAAATATCTATCCTCTATTTCTCTAGGGCGATGCAACTTACATTGAAAGGAAGCTATTTTATGACTTGTAAGCAAGTTCAGAGTGTTGAATAGTTTAACAGTTGAAAGAATCTTAAGAAAAAAATTATTTCAACAAATTGGCATGATATTATAGAAAAAAATTTAGGCGACGAAGGAACGTTAGTTTCCAGCACCCGAATCAGCCTAGCGCGTGGGAGGCACTTAACTTCACTTGCGATTGGACTTTATTTGCACTTCATATCTATTTAAAAAATTAAATAATACTTTCTCAAACAACGAAAGAGTCTAGAGTTTAACTCATCTTCTCGTAATCATCTTTCAATATATCCTAGAAGACTGAATTTTACACAAAGCAATAAATAAAATAAAAATGGCATCGTCGCCATAATTGGGTTCATTATATTTATATTTCATCATCTTAACTTTGGAAAAAATTCATATTATACATATAACCTTGTGCAGTATAATTTGTGAAACTCCACTATGTATTTGTTGGTGATTTTATTTATATTAACCTGAGTATTCTTATCCACGTTAACATCTCAGTCGCTGTTGTAGCTGTGAACCGGCCGTATTGAACGTAATACGCTATACGCTCTGCTGGAACCTTAACAAAATAACCGGCTCTCAACCACATTCTATTACCTCAACATAATGATCGTGCTGCGCTCAACCATATTCTATTACCTCAACATAATGATCGTGCTGCGCTCAACCATATTCTATTACCTCAACATAATGATCGTGCTGCGCTCAACCATATCATGAGGCGCTACAGCTCAGCATTAGGCGCTACAGCTCAGCATTAGGCGCTACAGCTCATCATGAGGCGCTACGTACAGCGCTCATCAAATTGCACTACCGACACGTCACTCTACACACTCAAACAAATGTCGGCAGCAATGTTTGCCCTCGAGTGCGGGTAAGGCCCAGGATCGGAAAATGACCTCGGCGAGTCATCGAGCAGCGGCACAGCGATCGATGTATGGGAAGATGGTTTACTAGTGGTTGAACTATATCTACTAGTTCAACCATGGGTTTACTAGTCACAATCCATTGATGTTCAATATCAAGCAGAATTAATATGCAGTAATATACAATGGCGCGCTATTCTGAATAACTAATTCACGTAGAAACACATTTTTGAAAGATGTCGGAGAAAATTTGGTGCAGTGTGGAAGCAATTTAGTGAAACCAACACATGAGCTCGATAAATATAACACTTTGATAGAGCTAAAAAAAATGTATAATAGCATTTGCATTCAGTGATGCAAGGAATACCAAAACGGCGTACGAGTTGTATATCTTACTTTAATGTTATTAAACTTGCATTCTCATTATATAACAGCGATATATCGTATTATTATTAAAGCAAAACATAGTATTATTAATCGAGACTAACATCTTTCACGCACACAAAGGAAAGCTCCTGAAACAGCGACGCGTGATCGAAAAAAACAACCGGTGAAAGTACAAGGTAGCTTCGTGGTCTCAATCTGCATATCTCAAAATAAATAATAATCTGGTGAAGTGGTGACAAAAGTACGAACATTCCTCATGACATCTTGACATCTAAGAGGAAGAGTGCACAGGTCACATCATCGGCACTGAACTTGACCCTAGCGACCACATCACGTCGGATGTGGATGCTTAAGATCATTAGAAGCCAGTGAACTCGAGTAGATCACAATCACCTGCATCCGAGTCACTTAATCGCGTCACAACTGCTACTTCCAATTATCAACTCGGAAGTCAACAGCGGCTCAACACTTTGATGCAATGCCTTTATCTTAGAATAATTTATCTTCTCACTGCATGGAATATATAAATTATTGCTGGGTATTAAACTCATGATTTGATTAATTACTCATTACCATAATGCGCAGCTGTATATTTAAGAGCAAAATAATGTTTGCGCGGGCAAAATAACCTGTCTAGTTTAAGGTTACAGCCGCTTAGCAGCTGTTTACTCAAACAATGCCATAGTGGCCGCCGTCTCACGACGCTGATGACATCGTATCAGCCACAGGCAATTAAGATCTACAAATAAATTTTAAATGAGAGTAAATGATTAGACGCAGAGTTGAATAAATGAAGTTAATGGTAGCTTTAATGATGACATGTGGCGCAGGTTGATTACTGTTGAGAACCAGTGGTGCATGCGAGGTCATTATCGCTGATCCTATACCGCTGTGACAACAATGTCTTTGGTTCGTACAAATAAAAATTTTGAGATGCATTATATTTGAAATTTCAATTTAAAATAGATGAAATATCTTCATTTCTATATTCATATCGTGTTTTTGTTTAAATCTATATTTCTTACACGCGGAAAAAACACAAGCTAACTTCACTATTTTCAACGAACCGCACTTTATTCGCACTTTCAATGATAAATAGTTTTTCTTGATTTCAAATTCTTGATTGGTATTTTTGGATATTTAGACATTTTATTAATCATTACTGTTAAATGCTGAACGATTTTATTCAAAATTATTAATCGCAAAACTAAGGTCAGTATAAATGATCAACGAAGGTGGTGACTGGTGGACGATAGAAAATGTAAAGGTTTAGTCTGCCAAATCACACTCTCAAGCACATCACACTCTCGGTGCTATGGTTTTGCCTAACAAATACCGCAGCACATCACACTCTCGGTGCTATGGTTTTGCCTAACAAATACCGCAACACTATACCACAACACATCACACTCTCGGTGCTATGGTTTTGCCTAACAAATACCGCAGCACATCACACTCTCGGTGCTATGGTTTTGCCTAACAAATATATACCGCAGCACATCACACTCTCGGTGCTATGGTTTTGCCTAAAAAATACCGTATCACATCACACTCTCGGTGCTAAAGGACTTCAATTAAACTGTCGAATGAGACTTTTTGTTAGTGTAGGACAGAATATTTTTCCAGGTGCGACAACGGCCGAGACTCTTCGCTTTGTCATTAATTCGTGTCAAGCATATTTTTCCTTTATATTTACACGTTATCGCCATCAGTCGGCGTGTGTCCTTGAGGTCAAAACATGTCACGAAACGACTTCAGAATTCGGCTAAGGTCGCGTCTACGCGGTAGCCAACAGGCCGCAGCGACCAAGTATATAAAGGGGGCGCTTGAAGTTGTGGGCATCAGTCGTCGAATGGAGGTCGTCTAGTTACGGCCATATATTTCAGACTCTGGGCACTTGGCTGAGATATTATTTACGATACCTGTTTCACATTGCAACAAGAAGTATTTTGATCGATGGAAACCTATAATATTTTATGTACATTTTATGGAAACAAACAATAAAAAACTGTTAAATATATATAAATAAGCATATTAAACTATTTCTCGAACTGAATGTATTCTCGCGTAGAGTATTAATAGACTGACTAAAGTAATTACTGCACTTATTAGTTACACTTTGCAATTCGATTCTGGAAAATATTATCGAGGTTCACTTCATGCAATTAAGTATATCATTGCCAAAAAACAACGCCGTGACATCGAATTTTGTTGACTAATGCGCACTAATATTTTGTTCTTTCCAGACCAGAGTGTTTCTATTTCGTCCCTTTCATAAAAAGTATACTTTAAAACTTTACGCTTATCAAAATAATTTCCTCAACGAAAATTCCATTCGTAACTCGACTCGAACGAAACAACGAACGCTTCGCATTCGAACGCAAGCGACGACCACAGTAAATATCACAACAACGAACAACTCTTCATCATCATGAAGTGTGAACGACTCACCGTCCTCGTGGGTGAGTACCCGTCGGGCATGGTCGCTACAGCTGTTGAAGTTCGAGGAGAAGAGAAAAATAGCTTCATAGTTTAACAATAGCAATTAAACATTGACATAGTCAGAGATTATCAATGTCTGTGAGACGTCCCGACTTGATGTTTAAGTACCTGCAAGGCATGCGCCCGAGAGAAGTTATAATGTTCATGAGTCTCGCCTCCTTTGAATATAAATAAGGAGTAGGCGAGCCTACGATAGAATTAAATTTCGCGGGGGCACAACAGTTTCAGCCCCGTTCCCTGATACCAACAATTTTATCCCGTTCCCTGACACCCACAATTTCAACCGTTCCCTGATACCCACAATTTCAACCCGTTTCCAGATGCCCACAATTTCAACCGTTCCCTGATGCCCACAATTTCATCCTATTCCCTGATACCCATAATTCACAATTTCAAGCGTTCAATGATACCCACAATTTCGACCCGTTCTTTGATATTTGTTTGATGCGGCCAGCAACCGTTCCATATGATCATGCTTCAGTAAAATATAACTGCTGGATCGAACAGACATAATAATATGTGCTTTCCTTGAAATGCTTGAAATATGTGCTTTCCGGGTTATATGCTCATCAAAAAAGTATCATTTTTACGCAGAGGGATACGAATATAAATCGTCGTTCTATCGCTTACTTCGATAGTGGAATTTAATGATTTAGGGAAATTTAATAATAATAATATACAGCGGTTTCAGCGTTTATTAGGCCGTAGGCCTGTCGCCGATTCTTAACATCACAGAACATTCACAGCTTGTTGCGGTCTGGAACTCGCAACCCACTGCTCCAATTCTGCTGTGCTTAACCGCCCGGCCTCCTAGCCGATTCTGACCAGAAACTGGCGCACAGAGCTGGGATCGAACCCGCGCCTCTCTGCGCCAATCTTGGTACTCTGAACTTTAACCACTGGGCCACCCTGCCCACATATTCCAAAGAACAAAATGTTCACGGGAGCACCATAAAGATTCCAAGCAAATCGCTTCAAGTTGTCGCGAACTTATATGGGCATTTTTTTTTATCTTTTACAAGTTATCTTTTGTCGAATCGAATTCGAGTTGAAAACTTGAACGAAACAAAGAAACTGCAAACTGAGCATTATTTTCAAACCATATAATATTCTTAGCTTTGCTAGATTAATGCTCAATCACCTAGAGATACACTAGGTTCGTTAGTGATACACCAGGTTAGTGATACACTTGGTTAGTCATACACTGTGTTAGTGATACACTCGGTTAGTGATACACTAGGTTAGTGATACAATAGGTTATTGATACACTAGGTTAGTGATACACTAGGTTAGTGATACACTAGGTTAGTGATACACTAGGCTAGTGATACACTAGGTTAGTGATACACTAGGTTAGTGATACACTAGGTTAGTGATACACTAGGTATCATGTCGCAACGCACAGTAGCACAGCTGAAGCAGGAGGCAATGGAATTGTCTTTGACCGGATCGGACATCCACGCATATGTACTCGAGCAGCAAAAGTTTGAGAGAGATGAGCGTGAACGGGCGCGTGAGTTGGAGAAAGTTAGACTTGAGTTTGAGGAAAGAGAGAAAGTTCGACAACATGAAGCTGCCATGGCCGAGGTCAGAAGTAGGGCGGGCGCTGCAGAGACAGTAGTTAGTTTTCAGTCCATTGCTGATAGACCCAAGCTGCCTGTGTTCAGGGATGGCGATGATATCGCCGCATTTTTTATCAGATTTGAGCGAGTAGCAGAACTGCTAAACATCAGTGCAGATACTTATGCAGCTAGGATAGGAAGTCTCCTTTCGGGTAAAGCGGTAAACATTTATACTAGCTTAACTTCTGAAGTCACCGGAGACTACCTTCGTTTAAAGAATGCTTTGCTTGCTGGCTTCAATAAGACTCCGGATAATTATCGCCTTGATTTCAAGTCTGCCCGAATTGAACCGCATGAAACATACGAACAATTTGTATGCAGTTTAAGACGCAAACTTAATTACTGGCTTGACTCAGAGAAAACTCCAAAGACATTTGATGGATTGCACGAGTTCATGCTTAGAGAACAATTTATTGCTTCCGTCAATCCGGAGTTGAGATTGTACCTGAAAGAGCGCAGTCCGCCTTCTATCGAAGAACTCACCCGTCTTTCAGACTGTTGGGCTTCGGCTCATAGAAGGTACAAGTTGCCAGATAAGGTTCCGACCTTAGAGGGAGCTGCAAGTTCCAGTAGGAAACCTTTCCCGCATAAAATAAATTCAACGCATAACGCACAAGACGCTAAGGCCAGAGTGCCAACCTTTCGTTGCCATGCTTGCGGTGCTGAGGGCCATACGAAGGCCAACTGCCCCAAAAACCCAGCTTCTTTTGCGAAGACTAAACCGCTCGGGAACGCTCAGGCGAACATTTGTTTTGATAAAATGTCCCAAGCAGACGAGAAATATAAAGCAGCTGGCACGGTCAATGGGATGAGGGTGTCTACAATTGTACGCGATACTGGCTGCAGTTGTGTGATAGTGTCATCAGAATTGCTCCCCCATGCCAGCGTGTGTCCCCAAGAAACTGTTCAGGTCGCAGACTATCTTGGTCGCGTCTCTGAATTTCCAGTTATTAACTGTCACTTGAATTGCCCATTTTTTGTAGGTTGGACTAAGGCCGCTTTAGCCCCAATTAAATTCTGTTCTGTTCTTGTTGGTAATATTCCGGGTGCAACCGATGTTGGATCTTGTTCAGAGCAGACAGGTGGTCAGAGGTCTCCCGGGGTCCTTGTGTCAGGTGATCCTAAATGTGAGAATTCTCTGGCAGTCCAGACCCGCGCTAGTGCGAGTCGGTCGCACATGCACCCTTTAATTCCGGGTTTAGACTCACTTCATTTGTCGCCGGAACAGTTCTTGAACTTACAGTCCACTTGTTCTTCACTAGACGTGATCAGAAGGAAATGTACCTCTGGCGAAACGGAAACATTTAATGATGGAGCACAATATAAATATGTCCGGGAGGAAGGCCTCCTGTATAGATTATGTACAAAATCTAAAATCGCTCACAATGTAAATTGCAAATCCCTTGTTCTCCCTATGTCTTGCCGTAAAATTGCTCTTTCAGTTGCTCATGAATCTCCATTGGCGGGTCATTTTTCCGCTCGTAAAACAAAGTCACGCATTTCCGGAGTTTTCTTCTGGCCAGGATTCAACCTGGATATTCGTAACTTTGTGGCGTCATGCGACAAGTGCCAACGCATCAGCCACAAGCGCATCAAACCAGCACCACTGACCAAAATCCCAATTACTTCGGAGCCGTTTTCGCGCGTCTCCATGGACATCGTGGGACCGCTCTTGCCAACTTCTTCGGCGGGTCACAAGTACGTGCTCACCTTACTGGATTTAGCAACGGGATTTCCCGAGGCGATCCCCCTGAGAACCATTGATTCCATTGCTGTCTCGGAAGCCCTCGTGGAGATTTTCTCCCGCGTTGGAATACCGCGCGAAATCCTAAGCGATAACGGAACCTCCTTCACCTCCAAGCTAATGGGTGATCTCCACAAGCTACTGGGCGTTAAGCCAATATTTGCTTCACCCTATCATCCCGAAACTTGCGGACGGATCGAAAGGTTTCACTCCACCCTGAAACTTTGCTTACGTAAACTGTGCTCGGACAAACCCCGTGATTGGCACAAATACTTAATTCCTACTCTTTTTGCCATAAGAGAGATGCCTTCAGACAGGACAGGTTTTTCAGCATTTGAGTTGCTGTATGGCCGACCAGTCAGAGGCCCCTTGTCAGTTTTAAGAGACTTGTGGGAAAACAAGAAGATTGTCCAAGACGAACGAGAAGAGTACCAGTATGTTGTAGAATTGCAACAGAAGTTAGAGGATTGCGCCCGCGTAGCAGCTCAATCTGCTGGCCTCAGCTCGGCCAAATATCGATCATATTTCGACATGAAATCCCAAAGTCGTTCCTTCAAACCCGGGGATGAGGTTCTGATCCTCCTGACAGAATCTCATAAGAAGCTACTGCTGGCGTGGAAAGGCCCCTATACTGTTCTTGAGAAGAGAGGTCGAGTCAATTACCTTATCGACCAAGACGGAACGCCTAAATTGTACCACGTAAATCTCCTTAAGAAATACAATCGAAGAGCCAATGAGGAATGTGCTTATGTACATGACGAACTCCCCAGAGCAGATGGATACGGGCAGCCTTTTATCGCCGCCCGTGCAGTGGTTGTCGCTGAAGACGAGTCATGTGATAACCCTGATAAACTTGGACTTCTTTGTGCCCCACGAGCCGGGAAGCCCAGTGATTGCGAGATAAATCCAGCTCTCGGCCGGACCCAGACTCGGGAACTCACTCAGCTCCTCGGGGAATTTCGCGATGTTTTATCTGAACTCCCTGGCAAAACAAATACCATTCAGCACGACATTCAGTTAGCATCGACAGAAACATTTCATGCAAGCAATTATGCCGTGCCCTTGCACCTCAAGCAAGTCTTCGACGAGGAAGTCGATTCGCTACTTAAGTTGGGAATAATTGAGCCATCCATTTCCCCGTACAGCTCCCCGGTCGTCCTCGTTAAGAAACCTGACGCAAGCTACCGTTTAACCGTGGACTTCAGGAAAATAAATTCACTGATTTGCTTTGACGCCGAACCAATGTGCCCCATTGAAGACGAATTGCACAAATTTCACGGAGCTCGTTATTTCTCAGAGCTGGATCTCACAAAAGCTTACTATCAAATACCCCTAACTAACATGGCAAAAATGTTCACCGCTTTCCCTACTAGCAGAGGCCTCATGCAATTTACGCGCCTACCTTTCGGCATCAGTACGGCTTGTGCCACCTACGTCCGATTGATGCGCATCGTACTAATGGACTTGCCTAATACAAGTTTTTATTTTGATAACATTTTCATTTTTTCAGATAACTGGAAAACCCACATTGAAACGATCAAAGCTGTCCTCTTGCGTCTGCGTAAACACGGCCTAACCGCAAGGCCTTCAAAGTGCCGATTTGGTTTCGAAGAGCTGAATTACTTGGGCTATAAAATTTCAAAAGATTCCATTTCACCTCAGACCCCGAAACTAGAAGCCATAGCAGCGATTCCCGCTCCTCAAACGAAGAAAACTTTAAAATCCTTTCTGGGAATGATTTCATATTACCGTAAATTTATACCAAATGCAGGAGCAGTTACAGCTTCACTATCAGATTTGTTGCGTAAAGGCGTAAAAGAACCCTTCACTTTTTCCTCCCGCCAGTTGGCCGATTTCGAATTAATTAAAGATAATCTTACTTCTGAACCTATTTTGCGCCTGCCAAATTTGTCGAAACCATTTACACTCCGAACAGACGCATCTAACGACGGAATCGGTGCGGTTCTTTGTCAATATTATGATGAAATTGCTTTCCCTGTCGCCTACATTAGCAGGAAACTCCAGGACAGGGAGAAGAAATATTCCACGATCGAGAAAGAATGTCTTGCCCTCGTCTGGGCCACAGACAAATTCCGCAACTACCTTCTAGGAAAAGAATTCATACTTGAAGTTGACCACAAACCATTGGTCTACCTTAAAACCTTTAAGAATTCAAACGATCGATTAATGAGATGGTCACTCTTATTGCAGGAATTCAAATTTAGGCTAGTTCATATTCCTGGCATTATGAACGTGTGTGCCGATTTTCTGAGTCGGAACACTTGAGCCGTTTTTTTTTCTCGTGTACCGCTTCGGGTGCAATCGTAACTTTTCTGGCTTGTTGTCATGTGCTGTGTTCGTGTTTAAGAAATTAACTCTTTGTAGTAATAAGTTTATTCGTAGCGCTTGTACTTACAGCCTACAATTGCCTTTTCGTTCACTCTTAGAATTAAGGATGTATTAATAAGGTGTTCGTATATTGCTGATCATATTTGTGCCGTCCTTTCACGAAGTATTTTCAATTGTACTAGTCGTATTATCAACCTCTGAGGCCGATTTTGCCGCTTGACCCTTAATTTTCACGAGCTTCGCTGTCTTAAAGGGGGGGTTGTGTAAGGATCAAGCCATTTCTAGCTAACCATAAGTCGTTGTTTTACGTCCCTTCTAGTGTTGGTCAGATTTCGACGTTGATATGACGTTTAATTTTGGTTGTTCAACATTTCAACCTGAAATCAACCAATAATCAACGTTGTTTCAACGTCAGATGCCTGCTGGGAGGTTAGTGATACACTAGGTTAGTGATACACTAGATTAGTGATACACTAGGTTAGTGATACACTAGGTTAGTGAGACACTAGGTTAGTGAGACACTAGGTTAATGACACACTAGGTTAGTGATACACTAGGTTAATGATACACTAGGTTAGTGAGACACTAGGTTATTGATACGCTAGATTAGGAATACACTAGGTTAGGGATACACTTGGTCAGGGATACACAAGGTAAAGGATACATTTAGTTAGAGATACACTAGGCTAGCTATCCAATAATTAAGGGGTACACTTAGTTAGAGAAACACTAGGATATGACACTAGCACCTATCGTCTTGCTGAACATCGATGTAGGGTCTGCGTGACGATTGCCCCCCAAAAATTAGACTTTCCTACGTCGTTTCCATTGTTTACAAGACAAGCGTCTACCAACTCTACTTAGGCCCTCTCGTCTACTCTATAATTTGGTAGTCCAGGCATCGGTTTGAGCGAGGGCAGAGCTAATGGCAGCGCATGCATGGGAAAGTCTGTCTCGGCCGACATCCGTTCGCCTTGAAGGCATGTTTACCTTCACTCCATCGATATGACTGTATTATAAGTTATCATATAACGTTAGTTCTACGGATATTGTTTTAATATAGTGTCTCTCGTGTCTAGGGTGAGAATTTGAATCAGATTGACGCTTGTGGCCGATGGGCATTCGACTCTGAGTAAAACCTGTGAGTGTTATACCTACTGGCAATGACACACAAGTCACCACTCAGCAGCTACTGCACTAAACTCTCCGCTCGTCAATAAAAAACTTAAATACCTTTAAGAACTACGATTTGAGGGGTTCTATAGTGCCACGTAATAACTAAGAAGCATTTTCTATCGAGCTAAAAAGCTGTGGCTTAGTTTTGTTGATAAAATAGAACGTTTCATCTGAAGGCCGACGACTTGAGTGATATGGCAGTGACAAAGTTACTGACATTGACGGCAAATACGGCCTCACGATTAGAAATTAGAATGATTCCGGAATGAAATAAAATCAAATTAAAATTTCCGCTTGAAAAACATCGCACCAACACACGTTCTTGTCTCCATAATAGCGCAGCTTTTACAAAAAGAAAGCTTATGGTTCCACAACTTAATTGTTATATTTTTTACAGTTCTTCGAAATATATGTACCATCTCAGAGCTGTTCTTATAATTTTAAAACGAACTGCAATTGACTGCACAAAGAAATAAATAGATACAGTCAAACTCGGCAGTCACGCTCTCATGTACAAAAATCAAGAAAAATCTTTTGTCCTTCAGCAAAATTTAGAAGTTATTATTTTCGAAAGCTCATGCCATCGTCGTGATGGCCGAAACTTGTGACGTCTTGTCGGTCGTTGAGTAACCGATAGCGATGGACCTCGCTGGCCAATCAGGTGCCGCGTAACATCCCTTCCGTGGCGCCTGTTTGCAACATTTTTGAAGGGAATAATTTTAATCTTCCTAAGTGCTTTGTCACTACACGCCCGAGTATAGACGGAAGAATGATGCCAATTCACGATCACAATTGATCTTTATGATCATAATACTCTGAAAATTTAGATCATAACACTCGCTTTGCACAAATTTTAGCTCAATTTTGTCAGACCAATTTAGAGTAAATTTATTTCGTTGTTGCCAACAGGCCTGTTGTCGCTGGCTTTCGCTCAACAGTCCTACACTTTACAAAACGGAAACGGAGTAAACGGCAACGGAAACAGACCTAATGGAAATGGAGTCAACGGGAAGGGAAACAGACCTAATGGGAATGGAGTCAACGGGAACGGAAACAGCCTTATTGGAAACGGAGTCAATGGGAACGGTTTGGGTGGAAATGGTCGAAGAATTAACGGAAATGGTAGAAACGGTAACGTCTACTCATACGGAAATAAACAAAACGGGAACGCTGCTACACTCAATGGCAATGGATACTCAAATGGAATTAATGGTGCATCACTCGTTGCTGCTTCAAATGGTCTCGGGGTCAATGGACAAGGTGATGTATATAATGGTAATGGTGCTAGAGGGAACGGCTACAGTTACTCCGCTGGTGGTAATGGTAATGGCATCGCTAACGGAGGCACGAATGCAGCTAATGGGAACGGCGTTGCTAATGGCATTAGCGGAAACGGCCAGAGTGTAATTGGCTTTGATGATAACAGCTACCCAAGTAATGGCAACGGTCTCAATGGCAACGGGCTCAATGGCAACGGTCTCAGTGGCAACGGGCTCAATGGTAACGGTCTTAATGGCAACGGGCTCAATAGCAACGGTCTCAATGGCANAACGGCCTCAACGGTAACGGCCTCAACGGTAACGGCCTCAACGGCAACGGCCTCAACGGTAACGGCCTCAGCGGTAACGGCCTCAACGGCAACGGCCTCAATGGCAACGGCCTCAACGGCAACGGGCTCCAAGGTAACGGGTTGTCAGAATTGGCTGCGCTGGCAGCCGCCATCGCAGGTGGCGGGGAGCCCGACGTGGACTACCCCATCCTGGCCGCCGCCCCCCAGACCGCCTTCAGCTGCGCCGGCCTCCTGCCGGGGTACTACGCCGACACCGACACCCGTTGCCAGGTATGGGTGGTAAAATGTATAATGCTAAATCCATTGTGAACAGTATAATGTAAATGCATTGTATAGGATTTAAGATGGATTATCTTGCTTAATGTGTTTTTTATTAAATTTTAATTCTTTGCCAGGTTTTCCACATCTGCCAGGCGGACGGCAGACAAGATGCCTTTCTCTGTCCCAACGGCACCATCTTCAACCAACAGGTGCGGTCAAAATGTGCACTTTGTGACGACATTTTAATCGCGGTAGAAAATAACCAGTAAAGTACTGATTCAATTAAGATAACGTTATAAAAAATAATTATATATAATATATAATGATAATATAATATTATTTGACTGCATAATAATTTCATCATTGATGGTGATGGTGATGATGATGGTTCTGGTGCCACTGGGGAAAGTAGAAATCATAAAGGAGCCTGACGCACAATTTGGATTGTCGAGTATTTAAATGTGGTTATTTGGTGTCTGTAGAGCTCAGTATTCTGGAAAATATTTTAAAAAATTACTCTAGTTTAACACATGTTTTTTCATTACAAGTCTGTCCGAGACTCAATAAATCAGCTGTATTATATAACACGCATTTATTCAATTTTCTTAAGAAGAGACAAGCTGTATAATTGTCCTGGAATGACCAGGATTTGACTTACCTCGTCGCGGAGAAAGAACCTCCTTTACTACAAGCGATATTAAACCTCTTTTGTTATAATGGAAAACAACCGGTGATTGCCATTGAAAACAATTAATGAATGCAATTGGAAACAATAAAATATAATTGAAAACAATTGATGCACAATTGACTTGGGTTAACTGCTCAGGTGTTCGTGTGCGACTGGTGGTACAACGTCAACTGCGCTGACGCTCCAACTTATTTCAACCTCAACGCCAACTTCGGGCAGCGCTTGCCTAACGGCAACGCAGCTTATGAAAATGAGTTGAACGGCAACGGCAATGGGTTGAACGGCAACGGCAATGGGTTGAACGGCAACGGTATCGGGTTGAACGGCAACGGGTTGAACGGCAATGGCAATGGGTTGAACATCAACGGCAATGGGTTGAACGGCAACGGCAACGGGTTGAACGGTAACGGCCATGGGTTGAATGGCAACGGTATCGGGTTGAACGGCAACGGCAATGGGTTGAACGGCAATGGCAATGGGTTGAACATCAACGGCAATGGGTTGAACGGAAACGGCAATGGGTTGAACGGCAACGGCAATGGGTTGAACGGTAACGGCAATGGGTTGAACGGCAATGGCATTGGGTTGAACGGAAACGGCAATGGGTTGTACATCAACGGTAATGGTTTGAACGGCAACGGCAATGGGTTGAACGGCAACGGTATTGGGTTGAACGGCAACGGCAATGGGTTGAACGGCAACGGCAATGGGTTGAACGGCAACGGTATTGGGTTGAATGGTAACGGCAATGGGTTGAACGTCAGGTTAACGGCAATGGTAACGGTCGGGTGAACGGGAACGGTTACACTAAGGTTAACGGCAATGGTAACGGTCGTGTGAATGGGAACGGCAACGGACAGGTAAACGGTAATGGCAACGGTCAGGTGAACGGGAACGGCAACGGACAGGTTAACGGCAATGGCAACGGTCGGGTAAACGGGAACGGTTACAGCCAGGTTAACGGCAATGGCAACGGTCGGGTGAATGCGAATGGCAACGGCCAGGTTAACGGCAACGGCTACAATGGAGCTGACGGCGACAGGCCGTATGCGGCGCTCTCTTCTTCCTACGGACCGCCGACCATCGGCGGAGGGCGATAGCTGGACTGCAGCGGCATCGTATTGACTTTGTCGGCTTGTGGCTCCGCAACATATTTATTATTCTCGAATGTTTATGGCTTTTTTATTGTGTTTTTGAAATCTTAATCAACTTTCCAGATTTAGACCAAAATGATTAGCAATTTGTTAGTTTGCGCACGCAGTCATTCTGTCGAACCGACCTGTGGCCATCGCCGAAAATTTACTACGAGTTCATTTGTCTCGAGACTCGCTGGACTGCTGGTGCTAGAGTACTTGCCTATAGTATAGATGATGTTGTAATGATATGATAAACAATTTAAACATGAATATTTAATAGAAAGTATTTTCATATCCTCTTCCTTGGAAATAATGGATTTATAACGAGAAAGTTCGTGGACTTGATGCATTGAGGTTTAGAAGTGTAGCTCAGTTCAAAGAATGTATAATTCTGCCACACAGACAATAAAACTTAGGTATTCGATTCTGAAGCAGAAAGACAAGTTACGAGATGATCTAGAGACAATCAAAATTGAGTATTCAATTCAATAGGATAGGTTTAAGTAGCGAGTAAACCCAGCAACATGCGAGAGGTTGCATGTTGGTGTCTAAATGTAAGAAAATTATAAATAAGGCTTTGATGGTATCCATTATCGCAGGCTTACAAGGCAGATAAGTCAAGGTCCCCGAAGGATCACTAAATTTGAAACAAGAACCAACACCAGGGGCCACGGCTATAAAGTAAAAAAAACTGCGCTGCAACTTCTCCAAGCAACAACATTTCTTCTCGCTTCAAATCACCGACATGTGGAACAGCCTCCCCGATGACATCGTTGGCGCTCCAAGTATGAACGCGTTCAAGAACAGACTAGCTAAAGCTATGGAAAAATATATGTTCAGATTTGAAATGCCTAGCACCATATCGAAACCTGTGGAAGTCTAGTAGCTATTTCAAACTATCGTCAGTCATGAAAAGATCCGGTCAAATGACACGAATTTAGATCTTCTGTGAACAAGGCATGAAATGGAAAAGAATCGGTGACAGGCCACATCAGGGGCCGGATTATCATAGCTTCGTATATTTCAGTACGTACGTACGAGAAGATACGAGTTACGTAAGTACACCCTAATTTAGCTTTATCAAAACTTTCATACGCAAGACTCATCAGGAAAGTTATCATCAAAACCTTCTGGCTAACTGACCAATCAGAGGCTTTGAATTTGCCATTCCTAGCTCTTGACACAAAGTAATGCGCGACCATCTCTTGCCACCCACCTCAGACGTTCATCGAATCTTTTCCCCGTGTTTTTCATCGTTGCCCCCGCCATCCCGCCGCCGGTCACTTCATCGAATTCCCTATCTCCTCATAGGGATGTGCTTAATTACGTTTAATGCCAAGTGAATCGGGAGTAAAAGTCGAAGGTGCACATGAATGCATGGTGGCAATCTTGTCATCACCATCCGTAGCTAGAGACTGACTGTTCTTTTATTTTGTCGCAGATGTATTTTCTTGACGCTGTCGCCAGGCAGATGATCCTTTGTTCTGAATCTCGAAATGATTAGTATGACGGTGGTAACAGGGTTGCCGCTATTTGTACATTTAATAGTAACTGAAATTGATGAATCTGGCTCCAAATTCCCAACTCTATTTAAAGTTAAAATAATCAATTAATTTGGTCTTTAACTAAATGGTGTCAACTTTAAACTTAAAATTAAGAACAGTAGGCTGCTAAGGCCCCTTTCACACAGGGCGGGAAATCCCGCCGGCGTGAAAAAAACTTCCGCGTGATTTCCCGTCGAGCCTCAGCGGACATACAAAATGTGCACTGCTATTCACACACGACGGATTTTCACGCGGCGCGAAATTTCACGCCTGACGACCGCGTGTGTCAAGCTAAAACTGCGGCGGGATTTCCCGCGACAGTTTAGCTTGCAATGGTATTCAATGTTCTCTTTCACACTGGGCGGTTTTTCACGCCGCTACCTAGAGTGGTATAGACCACAGGGGCCTCCAAACTGTTCAACGTGCGGACCAGATTATATATTTCCCATATTTACGCGGGCCAAAGGGATAAAAAAATCAGCGACAGTAATTTTATGTACTCACTACTCAGATATTAAAGTGTGATCATAGAAATTTTAAAACATATATTTTTGGAAAAAGTCGGGGTAAATTAAATAGATGCCTGTCTTGATGCCTGTCGAATGATGATTTCAAAAATTAATGACGCTTAATTAATTTGACGATTAAGGATTAATTTTTAATTAATGAAAATCAAAAATAAATGTCTGACGTTTTGATTTGAAAAATTAATTAAAATCCGGTTTCAGATTAGATGAGCCATTGTAAGAATTGATTTCAAGTGATCGTCAGACATAGTTGCTCGATAGTTAGATTTCACACACTTCATTTTGGGAAATGTTTGTTCACAGAAGTATGTTGAACCAAAAATGGAACCAAAACTACAAGCAAACTTTATCAAATTTGGAAACTGATCTGGCTGTAGGCATTCATAAAACTCAATCAGATTTCCTTCTCTACACTTATCCTTCTGTCTGTCCGGAGATCAATAATTTCCATTCGAAATTGAGTTGGAAGGTTTTCAGCATTGCAGTCAAATGGATTATGAAAGAGGAAAGCTGCAACCCTGAACATGCATGGTTTTCGAGTTTATTCTATTTCTCCGCTCTGTTAGAATCGCATTCGCATGACTAAAATCAGTTTCAACCGCACATAGAGTTCTGGAGGCAAACAAGAAAGCTTCGGCCCCGGCTGTTCGGTTGGGATATAGAGTGACGGTACTGACATATCATGAATCCAATACTCACTGTAGGGTTTCATATTCAACAACGCTTTACCTTTCAATTATACGCACATTTCGACAAGTTTATATAAGTCAGATTCAAAACTTTTATTGTCTGTTTTCCTATCAAATGAAGACAAAAGCCATGCCGGAACAAGCAGATTCTCCAAATCTTGGTGTCAACTGAAGTAAACACTTTACTTAAATGTTGACAATGTATTTTCAAGGCTCTGGCATAAAAACTCCATTGCTCCTTTGTTAGGGAAATAGATAGTTCAGTATTCATATAAATTTGTTACTTTTCCTATTTTTAGTTTTCAGTTTACATATGCAGATGTTGAATCTGTAAGTTCCCGTCCGATTTATGCATTACCGTTTAAGAATTCGATCGCCGTGTCAGGGCGCGTTTGCACTCTGTTCACGGTTGGGGTCTTAAGTGTTCTCTATTTAGTGATTGTTTTGAATACGTTACTAATTTCTTATTTTCTCAATAGTTAGATAGATTTCTTAATCAAAATAAAAGCTCATTCATTCTTTAACTTGTGCTCATTCATTCCTTTCTTTTCTTCTTTAATTGGAATTTATGGGAGCCTCTGAAGACTGATTCAATGCGGCCCCATGTCAGAACAGTTCAAGGAATTTGACTGAATTTTGTTTTCAGGTACAAAATTGGGTGTCTTGAAAAAAAGCTGAAGATTTCTCAGTGGATGAAGAGCTGCAGAACGGGGCCACCAAACTGGAGACCACACCGGGGCAGAGAGCACCACTCCAGGGCAGAAAGCCCCACTCCAGGGCAGACAGCCCCACTCCAGGGCAGACAGCCCCACTCCAGGGCAGACAGCCCCACTCCAGGGCAGATAGCCCCACTCCAGGGCAGATAGCCCCACTCCAGGGCAGATAGCCCCACTCCAGGGCAGACAGCCCCACTCCAGGGCAGATAGCCCCACTCCAGGGCAGATAGCCCCACTCCAGGGC